TTCGGTGCCTGTATAGTGAGGAATCCGTATCTAAGCACAGTGCAGAGCCATTTTGAGCATCCAGTGGCCAGTATGAAAACCCGATGATCAGCTGCTTTGATCGTCGTAATGCAAAGAATCGGTTCCCGAAGCAGGGAACCAATCTTCGCAAAGTGAAAAAAATCCATTTAAAACATCGTTTTGCAATCACAATTGTGATCGCAAAAAGATCGTCATAAAGCGGATTTGTCGTAATGCAAGGCAATAGTTAAGCGGGGCACAACTGTACATGGAACACTAGAGCATCATAGTTAAGCGGGGCACGACTGTACATGGAACACTAGAGCATTCGTCCTCAGCAGTAACAGTATAATTTTCAAAGAAGCAAGCAAAACAAGAACTATGTGTGTTTGTGTTGAAGAAACTTTGCTTTTATCTCACACATTGCCAGTAAATTGCTTCTCTTCCAAGGAAAGTGACACTCCTCAGGCTCTCCGTTTCTTGGAATCCCTTTCAAAAAGTAAAAAAAAAAGTCTACCTAATCTGAGCAACTCTCATCATCTGGCTCATTTCTTATTCTGCCTATGCTGTGTGCCATATTTCGATTTCCTCATGCGCATTTTGTCCTGTCCCCTCACCCCATTACTTAAATGCTTCTCTGTTATGGACAGATTTCACATCCCCAAGGATGTTCTACAGCATTTCTAAGCCTGTTGGCTGCTTTTTAAATTGCATACTGAATTTTCCTTAAGCTTATAAAAATTATAGCATTAATAAAAATGGTTCGCTTTTCAATAGCTACCTTTCATCTGATGGTGCTTTACAAACACTAATTCATGGAGATGTGAGAGCGGCTTCTATTATTTGAAAGCCCCTTTTAGTGGCTGGATGTGAAATCTGCAGCTTGAGTTTTATTTGAAAATGTGTACACATGCTTCCAAAGGCAGATCACTTTGCTTGTGGAAAGGTCTACTTAAAATCGTGGCTAATGCACACATCCACTCAGTTATTGCATGCAAATATGGGTTTCACATCTGTAATGGGTGTGCACCTGACAGCCTTTATACTCTCTAACTCCTGAACTAATGAGCCTGTAGGGAAGGCAGGCAAAGGGACTGGAAGGGGTTTTTGGGTCTGGGCTGAACCACTGAGGTCAATGCCACTTCAAAAGCTTTCTAAAATTGCAACACCCTTCTGGATAGAGGACACTGGTTCAAGTATGTACAGTGGGAATTGTAGTACTGGGACTTTTAATTCAAAAAACTAACAATTCCAAACTCTGTGTTCAGGTGCTTATATAGGCCTTGCATTTTTTACTTTTAGGAAGAACAAATATGAGAAGATTAAAGATACCTGTAACTGAGCTGTAGTAAGCTAACTGTCTAGATCTGAAAGAAACTGGTGCATGAGGTCTAGCACATGCAAAGCATGCATTTTGCCCTGGTCTATGGTTCTTTCCCCCAGATAATGGCCCAAAGATTGTATGAAATAGTTTTTATTCAAGAGTATTTTGTTGTCTTCTGACCCAGTCTTCCAGTATACTAAAGCTTCCTCCTGGATTGTCACTGACCATGATCAATGACTTCAAAGAGTTTTAGAGTTGCTATATTCCAGTTCTTCAACTCTGGGTAGAGTATTTTATGCTATGCATATTAAAGAGCCTAAAGTAGTAGCTCTACTGCTGGACCAAGAAGATGCAGCTTGGGCACAGTTTGGGGTTGGGCTAGAGTGCTGTTCCCCATATGTCATGTGATTGCGGGAAAATAGATTACAGCAGACCGTGCCCCTAGCAATCAAGAATGTGAACTATACTGTATGCCTGTGTGGTCACACCCCAAGTTTCTCATGTTGAGAAAGGTTTCTGTCTAATCTCTCTCTTGTGTGCAGAGTCACATAAAAATTGAAGCAGGAACTCTTTAATTATTGGCAGTCTGTCACTGCCTGTAATGTCATTCCCACGAATAGAGCTACACTACAGGATAGCAGCCTATAAGATCCCTTTAAACAGTGGATGACTTCATTCATTGACTAATTGTATTGAAAGTTTGCTTCTTCCTCATAATACTGCATCTAACATCACGGTCCATTTTAAAACCAGAAATGTCCCTTTTAAAAAACAAACAGTAATAACAACAAAACATTTCTGATGTAGCCTCTGTCAGAAAAATGGCTACCATAATGCTCAAACTAAGCTGTATGAATGCCATGTCAACAGGTCAGTTGCTTGGCAACAAGACAATGCCACAGGTTGGTTGGCTGGCTGGCTGGCTGGCTGGGAGCAGAGGGTCCAGGAAAATTATGTCAGTTGGGCATAATCCCAACTGAACCTAAGCCCCAGATTCTGTACTGACTTGCCATGATACAGGAGATGGGGAATCTGCAGCATGTACAACTTCTTGTGTCGAAGCTTGCAAGTAGACTCTGAAAGATCCTGCTCTAGTGATCTGTTCTTGCTTGAGGATTCTAGATCCTGAAGCCCATCTATTGTCTTCAGAGCTGATGGACTCTTGACACTTAATTTTTGCCCTGGACATAGGCCTATGAAGTGACAAAGGCCTGGGGCAAGTATTTCCATGTGGGGAAACTATGTTAACACTGTTTGGGCTCATTATCTGATGACTTGTGAGTGACAGAGATAGGAAGTTGTTGAGCCCTTCTCTTGGGGCAGGAACTGTACTCAAAAGGCACACTGATTCATCCATGCATGGCCAGCTATGTCTAACCCAGACCAGCATGAAAAGCTCAGTGATTTGTTTCTCATACATTTAGCTCACTCCACCATGTGGGTGGGATATAAGCCAGGTAATATTTGTGTGTCTGTGTGTGCATGCACGTATGTGTGCATGCGCATTTGTGCACAAAAGCAAATCTGTCAAGTTCATTTCCAGGGAGTTTTTCAGATTTCCAGTTACATTTGCTCAATCCCATTTTCGTCCTGATATGTAAATAGAAATGTTTAAAAATCAGTACAAAAAGTGCTACATTATTGCAGATTTCTTCAAATATAAGAATTTTGGAATTCAGTTTGCAAAATGTAAGCAACTGTAACTTGCATTTTAAAAAAATGTACTTTCTTCTAAAATCGCTTATGCATCTGGTATGTACTTTTTCATGTGCAACTTGTGTACCTTTGTAGGTTTTGTGCATATTTCATAGCTGATGAACCTTCTGAAAAGTGATGATTTTGGAACACAAGTACAATCTGTTTTGAGCTTTGGTTGATTCCATGAATTTGGCATATTTGCATCAGAATGCGAATCTAACAAGGCTCTCCTCTGTCCTTGTCCAGCTCCCTATCAATCTACCCACCTGTATTTCCAATTTAAACCATCACTAATGAAAAACCTGCCAACAATTGCTGGACTGCTGTGTGAGGATGAGTTTATCTTCTGAGGTTTGTAGAGTCCCAAATTACTCTCCAGAATGTTTCTTTGCATCAGTTTAACACAGCATCATCTAAAAATATGACACATTTTGAATGAACTGTAGAGAAAACTGGATAGAGGGAAATTGTTTGGCTTTCTTTGCTCACTAAGACCATGAAAAATGCAATCTACAGGGGTTATGCTTTAAAAGTCTCTTCCATTTTGAAATACTCTCTTGGTTATAAAGATGTTCTCTGTACTTAAACTAAGGGATACCACTGAGACTCATAATAACTTCCAAGTTGAAGGAACAATTTAAGTAAGTCTTCTGTATACATGGAGAAAAGCAAGAAAACAGGATGCGGTGGACCACAAGGGGTACGCAGTGAAATTGTTTTGATTTTTCCTTTCACTTATTTAGGATTTTTAAGTTCATTTAAGCTAATTCTAGAACTCATGCTATTTGAATTGCACTTCATCACCCATATATTTGTACAATCAGGCATTTCATGGATATATTATATTTTGTTTAAACAGCATCCATATGTATGCAGCTCAAATAGGGGAAAGAAAACACTTAGTAAGAAAAAGAGTATAGTGCTAATGATTCTTTCAGTAGAGGCATTTGATACAGAATGACTGCATATTTTCCTGTTCAAGTGCACAATTTACATGTTTAAAGCACAGAAATGCAAAGCATGGTAATGTTTCTGGTTTAAGTTTTTGTTCTACTCAATAATATAAATAGTGTTTCATCGTGGTTTTCCTAGTTCTGTCCGGGTCACCAACTCTGGGTCCAACTCTGGTTGGAGACCTGAAATCACTTCTGTTTTGCTGAAATTTTCAAAAGGAGATTCACCCAATTCTATGTGTTTTGGGGGGCCTGGGGCATTTGGTATGTGTGGGCTGAAAAACTGGCAAAAAAAATGTTTATCTGCTGTTATTCAAAGCCATAGTAACCTGTAGCATGAGCGAGTGGCACCTTTATTTCCCCTTGCATGGGGGAAGAATCAGTAGTCTGAATTATCTGAAAGGTCAAAGGTTCCTCACTTTGACTCTAATGCTTTTCTACCTGTCTGAAATTTTTCTGAGGACCTCAACTGTTCACTAGTGGGCAGGGATGGGGACTTGAGTCACAGGACTTGCTGTCTAGTTGGACTTAAGTAGCACCGGTGACTTGATTCAAACTCAGCTTGGTTTTTTTCCCCCCTAATGATTTGGACTTGACGTGTGGTTTGGAACCCACCCACTCCTCCTTTTTTTTCTGGGGAGAAGAGTTTGTTTTTAATAGGGACTTGGACATAGGGTGTGGGACTTCATACTAAAGACTTGGACTCGGATTTGAGACTCAGACCCAAAGACTTGCCATCATCTCTCCTAGTGGGAGCAATGTGTCATGTTAATCATGATTCTAACTGGCCGACAAAATTAAATAAAATAAGTTTCAAGCATCTTGCCGAACAGCCAGTTAAAGAATGTATGGCGGCTCCAAAAATTCCTGGAGTTGGAATGTTCCATAACAAAAAAGAAGACAGTACGTTTCTGAAAGACCCCTTTGTAGTGTTCCCCATTTATTAGGTCAATAGTTCATGTTTTGTTATGTAATTGTTTATGAATATTCATGTTGCTGAGAGGCGGAGCCGAGAGAGATGCTATAAGAGTCAGAGTCAGAGAGTCAGAGTCAGTCAGTAAGAGTGGAGTGTGTGAGTGAGAAGGGGATAGAGTATGAAGTTTGGGGAATTCTGAGGTGCGATTAGAGTTAGGAGTGTATTCTCAGATAAAAGATTGTTGTTAATAATAAATTGACTTAAAGAAGACACCCATGAATCTCTATCAATAACTGTAATCAATAAACAAAAGTTCTGTTTAAAAGACCTTGAAGTGTGGACCTGAATCTTCCTGAAGTAATGGTGATTTAGTTATCAAAGTGTAAAAGAGGGGATTGTTGCCTTCATGTGCTCTGAGGCTTGATGGTCAAGCAAGGGCATGAGGGGTGAACACCACAATTCGTGGCAGTGGTGGGATATGAAGGAATCCAGTGAAGCCTGAGTTTGGATACGAAGATATCCAGTCAAGCCTGCATTTAAAAAGAATTTTTTTTTGAATCAAGGGTATCTTTTATACAGAGTTCTGTGGCAAAGAAGTTTGGTTCCTCACTAGAGCTTTTGGGAAAAGCTTAGTGGTGGGGGCTTCTGAACCCAGATCTGGGGGGTCTAAGTTAGGGAATGACTCTGAAAGAAAATTCTTGTATTTTACCTCAGGATCTGAGGACCAGTGGGCTAGCTTAAGGCTCAAGGATCTATGAGTTTAGGGAATGCTTGAGAGAAAAAGCAGAAGCCGGGGCAGAGCCAATCTAAGGGAAGAGAAGAGAAAGTCTTTGCTTGAAATAGGATTATTTTAGTGACTGGAAGTAATAGAAGAAAGACAGGTCCTTTAAAAATCAGTAAACACTCTGTACTAATCATCCCAGAAGTAAATATGCCACCCAAACATACTAAAAGGGGAAGTCCTGAGGCTGAGGTTTTACCTCAAGAAATGGAGG